GGGGGGGGGGGGGGGGGAAAGACGAGGAGAAAAAAATTTAAACGCCGCAACTACGATTAAGGGTTTTTGAAAAACTGCTTGCGTGTGCGGATAAAATTTATAAATATATATTATATATGTAATATAAATATAATGCAATTCATATATTAGGCGTAAATTCTGATCCACGTGCGACGAGTAGGGGCGCGCGCGCGCGCTTAGTATTTCGCGCTCACGGCACACGCGTAACGGCCACCCACAGTTACACTCATCACGAAACACACCTCGTATACAAAGAGACGAAGAGGGAAACAAACAAAGGAAAAAAAAAACACGTACGACACCGATTGAACGATATAATTGTAGTAAAACTTAACTAGGTACCAATTTACCTAAATCAATTGATAATTAAAGTATATATATATATATTGATAAACATATTATATATAAATATATATATATATTATAGAAAGTAGCATTATTCCAATAACGTGACCCGAATCGACGCGGACGTGGACGGAGGACCGTAACCGATGTTTTCTAGTGAAATTTTTCTAATCTTTAAGTGATTCCGATATTTTAGGTTTTCGCGTACCTAATCTTAACCTAACACTTTTTCCAAAACGTTTATATCCAAAAATATCTATTTATCCGTCTACCTTAATCTTAACTGTTGAATCCTCGTCACGCGACGTCACACGTCATACGCAACCAATCACAACACGAATTCTCCCCATACCCGTCATACACGCGTACACATTTTATAACACAAATACACAAAACGTGCGCGTTCTTATACACGGTCATAATTTTTGGACATCAGTGTGCGTAGCTTATTGTAATCTCGCAGTATTACCAAAGCGTTTTGCGTCGCGGTGCCGTGACACGTCGAGAGGGCCGAAAAACAAAACAAAGTTTTTTGTACTTTCTTCCCTATCGACGCATCCGACACTGTTTTCGATCGTGAATCAAACTCTAAGCGATGTGTATGTAATATGTGAAAACACTTATTTTTCTCGTAGTCGTGAAAAAAAAAAGAAAAAAAGAAAAAGGAGTCTCTCCTGTATTCTACTGTACCGTTTGCTCATCCTTAAAGTCTATCGGTCTGACCCAGCGTGAAGAATTTCGATACGTGTTCCTGTCGAGAGAATTTGCCATTTGCAAAACCCCAAAAACTCAACAAGTACTCCGTATACGTGGCAGACGAATACCACATGATACGGTGCACGGCATTTTGTCACTTCCATAGTCAAGGGATACAGGAACCAGAGAATTAAATTCTTTCCGGTTTGGCGGGATACCTTGTGCCGGAAGTCAAAGTTTGGTATTTAAATTTTCAAATTTACGCGCGCATTCCGAAAGGCACATATCACTTACGATTTTCGGGGCAGCAGTAGGCGACGGACGTTCTTAATTAATTCCGAGGTTGATCGAATCGCGTCGTTTGTAATTTACAATGAAATATTTCTCGTCACGAACACGTTAGCCACGAGGAACCGGAAGTTCTTGACGTCACGGTTCTTCGTTGGGATTCCAGTTTTATCGAAGGAATATCCTCTCCCCCCGAATGAAAAAAAAAATAAATAAAAATTTGAGGAAGGTACGATTGACACGGCACACGGGGACTGATACGGAGCACATCGTGCGAATTGTGGGACACGTGCAGATATACATACGGATAGGAAAATTAGGAGAAATACAAATAAAAAAATGGAGACGAGTGTCAGGGAACACGTATACACGCAAGGATATCGATACTTAGGGAAACAGATACGCATAACGGATAGGTGCACTTGAGACTTACCGTGCGAGCGAAAGTCATGTGCATATACGTATATGGGGTGTGCGAAGGAAAAGTAATTGAAAGAAATAATAAATATGTTAGGTGTGATTTCTTCACCTCCTTTGTAATATGTGTGATAAAGCATAATATATATATATAATATAATGACGATTATATATATATATATAAAGTACTAATATATAATTGATAATAATGATTAAAAATATCTAATATATTGCGACAGACCTTAAAGGGGTGTAATTGAAATTAGGTACTAATTGCACGATACAACCGACGGAAGTAACAACAATTACAAGAACAACACGAACAACAATATAGGAAACGGCTACAATATATAAGAAGAGCGTTGAAACAGGACGTTTTGTAGAGGAAAAAATGCGAGACACATAACACACGAAAGAACGGCAATTAATAACAATAATAAATAAATGAGTAAATAACAATAACCATTAAAATTAAATATGGCGTCGGTCGTAACGTTGATCGCTTAATGATGATATAATTAAAGTGAAAAACCACTGTGAGGATGATAACGAGATCGAAAGGAGTAATATGGTAGTCATTTACGATAGATTTGTATTTTTGAGTGTTGAAAAGTTTTTTATACCGCTGTTATATTCTTGTCTAAATATCTTAGTTCAAAGAAGAAGGGACGTCGTCGATAACGGGAGTGAACGTTTAATGAAAATTAAAAAAAAAATTGAGTAAAACGAAAAAAAAAAGAGAAAACGTGACGTGAGGTAAATGAAAATGGAATACAATAAAGACGGTGAAAATTGAAGAAAAAAAATTGGGAGGATGAGACCGAGAATTTTTGTATGTACGATTTTGAGGCAGATACAGATATAGAAATACTATGTGCGACAACGTCAGTCGGTTGACTAGAGGGGGACTTTTCGTGGGACGGAACTTTTTCAAAAGATATTGAACGGAAGTCGATTGACAGTCAGTAGTGGATGGGTGGGAGCGTCTGGTGACGTAAGATCAATGGCAACGATAGTACGACTGTGAATGAGAATGGGTTCACAGGCAATTCTATGTGATTGTGATTTTAGTTATTACGAGAAAAAAAAAATGGGCCAAAAAATACCCCAATCCTCGATTATCTGGTAGGATTGCCTGGAAAGATAAGAACCGACAGGGTGTCGCATGCGTTAACGTGTATATCGCCAGAGACAGAATAGTTCGTTTCGCCACCCTCCGAAAAGCGAGAACTCAAGTCATCCCTTCGCGAGTAAAAATGTTCCGCGAAAAAAAAAATTAAAAAAAAAAAATAGAAATCGAAAACAAAAGTAACTTCGCCAGACCCCTGTCCCCTCGATGTATCGGTTTTTCGACAAGGATTTAAATGATTTTTATTTTTCTATATCGAATGATTATTCTTAATCCTAGGAGAAAAAAAAAAGCGAAATGAAATTCGTAGCGTTTGTATTAATCTAATGATGATTTTTATATAAGATATATCATAGGGTAGACCACCCTCCAATTTCGCAGTGGCGGAAGTACAGGGGGTCGTCGTGCAAATTTTCCAAAAATTTCACATCCCTCTACCATGATCCAGAACTTCGACGATCCTCGATCATTCTCTTCATCTTGTCATCCTTCCTCATGTCCTCTGACCCCTGTGACAAGAGGCCGAGGTAACAATTTTCCTCTAACCAAAAGCACCGACCCCTTCCGACAGGGTCGATCAAATGTCTCCCTGCGACTTCCGTTTCGACGCGATTTTCGGGATTTTCTTTTTCCTGCGTTCGCGATTGGTTTTGAAAAAACCTTAACGCCGGAGATAATCGCCGGGCTCGCTTCTCTCAATGATAATGACGTCGCAGTCGGGCGAGTAGATTTTCCGTCTTTCTTCACTTTATTAATTAAAAATTATTACTATTACTACAATTACTATAACCACTCGCCTATTGCTATACCACTACTATTTACTATTACAAATATTATTGCGATTATTAATTGCTACTACTATTATTATTATCATTATTATTATTGATACTATTATTATTATTACTATTGTATTATCTTAGAGATCTCCACATACCAAAGAGACACACGACACTTATACATTTTGGACATACACGCATCACACACATGTACACACTTACACACCAGGCGTCGTACACTCTCGCACGCGATAACACAGGATGAGTAAAATAGACATGGGGCGATAAGAGATGCGAAGGACGAAAGGAAAAATGGCGTCAAAAAGGATTGTGATATAAGATCAGCGTGGATCGATTCGATGAGACGACTCTTTATCTTTGCTTTATCACTCCTGTAAAGGTGGCATTCCCGGTATGCGGTAGCAGGAATTACAGAGTTGGACAATTGAGGTAGGAAGCAGGCTGCTCCTGGAGGATCGGAGGATTGGACGAGGCGATTAAGGCAGATTGTAGCCAGTTATTAATTCTGTCGATCCAATCTATTTTTTCATCTAATTTGTGTTCCTTAAGAACGTTGCGTACTGCGCAAGCAAGTACTGCTTCTTACATCAGTGTGTTTTCGTGGGAGTGATAGATGGAAAGGACGCGTGCGTGGAGTTTGGGAGAGAGTACGAGAACGGCAGAGAGTACGGCCGAGTGAGAGTGGGAGCCTGTGTTTCTCATGAGAGAGAGAGAGAGAGAGAGAGAGAGAGAGAGTGAGAGAGAGAGAGAGGGTGAGCGCGAGAGTGAAGGACCGCGAGAGGGTGGTCATGATATTTTTTGTCTGATTGTTTTTATACATTTCTTTTCATTTTCTTGTTTTTTCCTTTATTTTTTTATTTACTCTCTTTTTCGTATTAAGGACTAACCGCGTATAGGAGCTAATGGACATAGGCGTAAGGATAAATTAAATAATGGCGAATTTAAAAGTGTAGAAGGTGTCTTAAGAGGTAAGATTTAAAAGCAGCTGGGAGTAGTGCAATGTTATAGGGGATGCTGATGGTGAGAATCGACCTGAGGAAGATCGGGAGATTTTTTTTATCTTTAAGGGAACATTTTTTCATGAATAATGAAAGGGTGGGAGTCAGAGGTAGAGACAGCGAGAACGAGAGCGGGAGGGAGGGGGAGAGAGAGAGAGAGAGAGAGAGAGAGAGAGAGAGAGAGAGAGTGATACAATATTTGCGATGACTTTAAGTGAGAGTAAGAGAGGTCAGGGGTCACTGTGGCTTGCTGAGATTTGTGTCCGACGTCGCGACGTCAAACGTCCCTCGTCTCACAATACTTCGTAACGTCGTCACTCCGAAACCGATCTCGCGAAGTCGAACCTCGATCGTTTCTCGATTAAAGTCGTGGAAGGAGTGGGGAAGGAAGGTCATAGTGATTATCGATTAATCGATTAAATGCAAAATAGAAGAGACAACTAGTCACAAGCCCAAACCAACACACTCGTAGAAATTAAAGGGATACGAGACGGAGAGAACTAGGAGTGGGGAAGGAAGGTCATAGTGATTATCGATTAATCGATTAAATGCAAAATAGAAGAGACAACTAGTCACAAGCCCAAACCAACACACTCGTAGAAATTAAAGGGATACGAGACGGAGAGAACTTAATAAGTGAGAGAGAGAGAGAGAGAGAGAGAGAGAGAGAGAACGAGAGAGAGAGAGGGAAAAAATCACATTAAAAATGGCGATTCTTTGACCATGTCAATATATTCATTCAACATACCCGTGGTATATATATCTATACATACATTTTACACGTGCATAGAAATTCAATGAAAAAAACTCTTTCGTGTCGTAGCCCAATCCCCTCTTGTTCCTATCCGTTTCTTAATAAAAAAAAAAAAAATAATTTTCATGTAGACGAAGGGATATGGAATAGCCCTGTAAAGCTAGCGATTTCTTAAGGGAATTAAAAAAAAAAAAGAAAGAGAAGTTGAACAAAAATTGATATACTTTTTGGTATGCATACATTATCTACCTAGATGCATATGTGGACATGTGTATCTATTATCTACTATCTACGAAGCAATTTGACTGTCCTTTGTGTGTCGTGCGAATGCGCGCGCATTGATTACGATTATAAAGATTATTGAAATGACGAAAAAAAAAAAAAAACTCAAAAAAAGGTAATAATAATAACGCGAAGGATAACATAAAGCGTAACACACATGGAAGACAAGAGACGCGCACAGTCATTCCCACACACAAAACCCATTCGTACTTTCACACACGCGTACACACGTGCCACTTAACTGAATTAATTAATTGATGGGAAACCTCGTATCCTTTTTGGCTAATGTGTAAATTTTCGAAAATTTTGTAATTGTAAAACTAAATGCGAGAGCGAAAAGATAACCCGATTTATTATTATTATCGTTGTAATTAATAGGCGTATAAATGTGATGAGGATGATGAAAAAAAAAGGAAAAAAAAAATATTATCGAAAAAAAAAAGTATTGACGACTCGACTATACCAGAGGTGGACGGGTTTGACGATACGATGACTCTGACGTTGACGACGCCGATGACGTCGTCCCTAGGCCAATTTGCTCCTGCAGTCGTTTTCTACCGTTTCTTTGTTTCTTCTTTTTTAATTCTAAATAATCACTTAGTCTTAATGTAATTTACGCTTAGCGAATCTTTTTCTACGCGCGTTACAGAAAGTCCAGCATTGGCGAATCACACGCGTCCCTAGGGAGAATTTTGTTGGCTAATTATTTGAGTGTCGAACGCTCTCAGCGACATTTCGCCAGGATGATTTGTCGTTCCTTTATTCTCGTGTATTGACTGTTGCGTTTCTTTTTATTCTTTTTTTCTTTCTTTCCTTAACTCTTTTTTTTTCTTTCTCGTTTCTTTGCGTCGCGCCAGAACAATTCCCGCGTGATGAGAACTCGAATGGAAACGAGGGAGGGGGGCGGCTCAGAGATTTTCCGCCATCTTGGAAGAACGTGAACGGGCGACAATGAGGCGTCGGGACGCTCGTGGGTGGCTTTGACGTTCTGTCCGAGAATTCTCCGAGATATTCCGCAACGATGGCCGATGGGGATTCGCGAGAGAGAGATTAAGAGAAAAGGGGAGGAGGAAGGAAAAAAAGACATTTTACGAGAACAGCGAGTTTTTTCGTACGTTAGGTGTTTTTCGCATGTACCTAGTTAGCGATTAAATGACGCGAAGCGATTCTCTTACGAAACGTGCGTCTTTGCTCCTGTGAATGCTTTTCGATTTGTGAATTTGTAGGTGTGAGTGTGCGTGTGCGCGAAGGAGGGCGTGAGAGTGAGAGAGAGAGAGAGAAAGAGTGGCTACCGAAGGAATTGCCGATCGAGGCAGATAACCAAGTTTTTGGAAAAATTGTAGGAGCGAAATTCAGTCGCGAAAGAGGGTGCGTATGTGACTGGGAGAGCGAGAGAGAGGGAGAGGGTGAAGAGGACGGAGAGAAAGAGAGGTGTGTATGAAAGTGGAGAACGTGCGAGAGAGAGAGAGAGAGAGAAAGAGAGAGTAGAAAAATTGCTAAAAGGAGATGATAGTTTCAGACGATGATTTTTTACCTTTTTCTAAAAATGTCAATCGATTTAAGCTGTTTGTAGTGGGTTGATACTTGATACTTGGAGATTTTCGGAATAAAAAAAAAGGAAAAAAAACTTAATTAGTGTCGTGAAGAGTGTAGCGTTTGTATATTCGATATTTCGCAATGAAAAGATATAACAAAAAAAAAAAATAATAATATGATGTGGTTTAAGAGACAAAAAATGAGGATAAGAAACCCTGAGGTCCCGTTCGCAATTATTTACTTTCGCGAATTCGAGATCTTCCTTTTTTTTTGCTCCCCCGTTGCGCCACCGTTTTCATCCCTTTTAAATTTTTGTCCCCTTCAGCGACAACCCCGATGACTCAAGTCGCCCATACTCTCAGTTTCCTTTAAACGTCATTTTTCGTATTCAGCATCCCAGCGACCCTTGACCTCTTCAGGGAAGACGCGCACGTGGATTTCTTGTCTCTGAGGGAGTTATTAAAATCGAGGTGAAAAGGGCAATCGATTACGATATGCAAATTTTTTGCTCATTATGTCTTTTTCGATGTGACGTGTTTTCTCGGAACGATTACCTTATGCGTGTTCACACGGTGTCACACGCGCGCGAAGGCACTTGACGTTTTTGAGAAAAACAAAAGAAGGAGGAAAGTCCGAGGAACGAGCGACGAAAGACACTGGGTCAGTGCTAAAAGACACGAGGAGAGTCCAGGAATGTCCTCGGGGTTTATCAATGCGACATTTTGCAGGTATTAAGGCGCGTTTTCACGTCGACCAAGAGGATAGAGGCTCGAATAAAAATTCGCCAATGGACTGTATCGTTAATTGCCAATTTCGCACCAGACGAATTGTGCCTATTGATTTATCTTTTTTCCTTTCTTTATTTTTTCGCATTGCTTATCAATTTATTATCCAATAACCGTATTCCGCCCTTCCGAGGTCAGCAATTAGGCCCGCAGTCACAATTAACGTTGTTAGGACTCGCGAGAAACGCGAGCCAATCAAAAGCTACCAAGATCAAATGAGTCTTCAATTCTCAATGAGATCGTACGTGTCCATTATTACGTATCATTTGTTCAGCGCGCTCGTTCAGTCGAAGCGCGATAAAATTCGATTCCTTGGAAATCCCTGCGACTACCATTCGTCGCCAGTCTGATTGGAATTCCATTGATCGGAGCGTCGTGATTCGACCGATCGATTGGATCTTTCAATTCACTGTGATTGGCTCCGTAAGCCACGTTACATCAGAAACGAAACGGGAAGGCCGCGAGAAGCTCGCCGAGGAAGCGAATGAAAATTCTGTCAGCTGTTCTTGGGACGATCGAGAAATTTCGAGTGCATCCTCGTATTTTGTCACTTTTTTTCATATATTTTATTCATTTAAAAACAAAAAAAAACTGAACGACTCTCTCTTGCTCCTTTGTTACGATTTTATTTATTTATTTCTTTAATTCTTTTATTTCGCCACGTCGACGAGCTCTCGTGCGACTTTGCCCCGATACGTGCAAACTATCCTACAAAGCCACCGCACCAGGCCAATTAGAGTCGATCTTGTAATAACGTAGTATAATTAATAATCTTAGCTTAATTAATAAATAATACATAGAATTTATTTTTTGGTCGCAGAATATTGTTATAAATATATAGTGAGAAAGTGAGAGAGTGAGAGAGTGAGAGAGTGTACTGGTGAGAACGAATGAACGATAGAGAGGAAGTAAAGGAAAAGGAACTAGAGAGTGAGAGAGAGAGAGAGAGAGAGAGAGACACGGAGAGAATCAAGGAAGAACCGAAAACAAGAGGGCGAGAGAGATAGAGAGAGTATCAGTGTCAAGTACAAGAGAAAGTACAGGAGAAAGAGAGAGAGAGAGAGAGAGAGAGAGAGAGAGAGAGATAGTGAAAATGTTCGTGCGAAAGATGACCTTATTTAATTTAAAATTTAGCGTACCGTGTAAATGGTATAAATAGTTATGTAATACGTGGTGATGCAATAGGGTTCCATTGTTAATGAAATTAGCGCCCAGTTACCAAGTTAAAGCGGATTTCTTCGCAGATAAGCTCCGCCATTACTCTAATAAACACAAACCGAAGGAGTACCAGGACGAAGGGCCCCAATGGGTTCCCACGTGGGCGGCAGTTCGTCTCGGCTTGCTCACGCATTCCGGACAGTCCGCCTGCCCAGGGAGCTTCTCCACAAGGGCCCTTCGTCTTCGCGTAATCACTGCGGGGCTCAGCCGAGCATCCGTCTCCACCCGTTATCGTTATTCTCGTATTCTGAGCCAGCGAGAAGCTTTGGAATCGTGCGGTGGCTGAATTGTGGCATTAATAAAATTAAGGCACGCTGCGAACCCAAGTGCGGAATTCGGCCTGCTGCTGCCGGCCAACGCGACGAGTCGAGGCGTCGCGACGGCCAGGAGCGTGATACCCGGCGTCCCCTCGGGACGCGAGCAACGGCTGTGAATTTCGGAGCATTCGCGAGTACGTCACTGCGACGGCGAGTGCGCGGATTACGAAATTTTGTATTATCGTACCGGGCTACTCTCTGAGGCATTTTAAAAATGGGGGCGTCGCGGCCATTCGCTCGACTGGACGTCCGGCGTCGGGACGTCGTTTCATCTCGCTCGATGCACGAGGGATGCGAGGGACGTTCATTTACGTCCTTTCGAATTACGAGCGATGCTAAAAACATTGACGAAGATCGGCATATAGTATTTGTGTTTTATTAATAGGATAATTATGTATGCCGAGGCTCATGGCGTCTGCGGTGACGGCGACGCCTGGCGCCGGCGGTGGCACTGCGTTCCGACCTGTCTCGTAGTAGGGTTGTACTTTCGTGCTCGTTTTTCAATCACTATTATAATTACCTAAAAGTAATTTGTACTATGTAACTATTACTATTTTTATGAATTTTTGTACATTTTTCTAATTATTTTGTATAATAATCCTTAGCGGAATGAAAGGAAAGTCTGGCACCTCCTCCCCCACAGTGTTCAATGGAAATCGTAGGCCTTTACGACATATAGATAGATTTGCAGATGGCGAGTTGGATTTTTTGAAAATTATATTAAGAATTCGTAAAACATTAAAGCGTCTTTGTCTGTTAACCACGTGCGATGAGGGTCGCGCTCGAGAGGGTCGAGGAAAGATAGAGAGAGTGAGAGAGGGGGGGGGGG